CAGATGCCCCAGTCCGTGGTCTTGGAGGGACGAGTCTGAGTCACAGTCTCCTGGGTGCTCAGGTGTCCTGGGTGGATTGAGAGCCGGTGGCCTTCAGGGGAGGCAGCTCAGTCACCGCTGATGAGCTTTTCCTTCTTCTCGCCTTATTAGATTCCTAGGGCTGCCACAACAGAGTGCCACAAACTGGGTGGCTTAAAGCAGCTGAAGTGTATTGGCTCACAGTTCTGGGACTAGGACTGCAGAATCAAGGTGTTAGGGTCATGCTCCCCCTGAAAGCTGTAGGGGGTTCCTCCCTTTGGCATCCCTGGGCTTGTGGCTGCATCACTCCAGGCTCTGCCTTTGTCATCACATGCTTTCCCTGTGTGTCTCTGTCTTCTTATAAGGACACCAGTCATCTTGGATTAGCAGTCCACCCTTCTCCAGTATCGCCTCATCTCAACAAACTGCAACAACCCTATATCCAAATAAGGTTACGACCTGAGCCTCTGGGGGTCAGGACCTCCCATCTCTTTTGGAGGGATCTGTTTCATTCTCTTTGCTCCCTCCTTCCTCTTTCCCGTGATCACCTCCAGTACAACTACCTGACCCAGTCCTTGTCACAGGCTCCGCTTTTGGAGGAAACCAAACCCAAATACCTGGGGCCCGTCTCCCAGCTTCACGGTTCCCCAGCTCCGCGTCCTGACTTACTGTGTTGTGAGGTGTGTTAGTCTCTCCGTGCCCTGCCACGCTGGAGGTTTGTCACTCAGATCTCCGTGTGCTGCAGATCCGGGGGCTCTGCGGGGCAGCAAGCTGAGTGCTGATTCTGGGACTCCCGCTCCTTCCAATTCTAGATGCTGCCGTCTTGAAACATGGCCTTCACAGCGAACAATGGAGGGGAAGAGAGAGGGTGGGAGGTTGACAGAGGCTTATATTCGGGTGTGGAAGCAGCATGCATGAGTCCTATGCATATTCTGTGTCCTAGAACCAGTCCACCAGGAAATGTCATCTGTGTGCCCAGGAGGAGAAGGTGGGCTGAGGGAGTATCTGGTCTGTTTTTGCCAAACTCGCCCTCTGAAATTGCAGTTTCCTTGTCTATAAAATGGGATTCACTTTTGCCCTGTATCCTTGAGTCTCAGCTCTGAGTTAGGAGAGCTGCTCATGACAGCCTGGCGGCACACAGTAGGGACAGACAAGTGAGACTCTGGTTTGTATTGCGGCCAGGTGGGGCAGCCGTTTGATTGCCACATCAGCTGCTCGTCCCTACGGGGCCATCCCTAAGGAAGGATTACAAGTCCCAACCCACTGACATCAGGCTTGGCCATGGGATGAAATGTGGGTGGAGCTCCTGGGGGTCAGGAAGGATCTGTTTCATTCTCTTTGCTCCCTCATCCGTCTTTCTCAGGATCCCCTCCCATTTTCTTGTCCTACATTACCCCTTCCCTCTGCTGAAAACCCAGAATGTGCCAGTAGAAGTGGCCCCTTTAGCCTTGGTCCTAGAATAAAGAGGACAGAGAGAAAAACCACAGCTGACCTGCAGCTAACAATGAAGATGATGAGAAACCAGCCTCTCTCCCTGTCTCCCTCCCTCCCTCTCTCTTTTTTCTTTCTTCCTTCTTCCCTCCCTCCCTTCCTTCTTTTCTCCCTCTCTTTTTCTTTGCCACTGAAATTTTGGGGGCTGTTTGTTACAGCAGCATAACCTAACTTTTCCTGACTGATACATCAGCAATGCCCTCATCTGGCCTTGTAAATGTCCTCCTCCCTGACATGGTCCCTGAGTAAGGAAGTGTCTCTTGACTTGGGTCCCAAATCCTGGTGTGGAAACTTTGTGATCCAAGCTGGATCCTATGGAGCCCCCTCTTTCCTAAGGTCCAGGAATTTGGGACAAAAGACCAATTATTCATATCTGTCAGCCCCAGAAGATGCAATCAGAGAGAGGCAGAGAACAAGACAGACCATATCGGCCCCCAGACCCTAAGACCCATCTGGTCTGGACTGAGCACCTCGCTGCCTCATGAGAGAAGAGGGTGGGGGTGGCCAGCCCAGCCCTCTGTTACATCCGCATGGGAGGAGGAGGAGGGGGCCAGGGAGGAGGGTTGGCCGGGCCTGAGTCTCATCACTCCCTAGGTTCACCAGGATCACAAGTCAAAGGAGAGAGGTGAGTCCTAGGGACGTGTGAGTCCTTAGATAACAGTGACCTTCCCGCTAGCGAACGGGCTCCAAAGTGGCCCTGGACTCAGACCCGCCCATCGAGGCTACCCCCACTCCCTCGCTCACAGAGGGGGGCTGGGGTCATGTCAGGAAAGCTTCCCGAGTGAGTTTTCACCCTAGAAGACACGTGAAAGCCAGGTGAAAACATGTTTGCAAAACTGCTTTGTAAATAGTGAAGCGTAACGCATATGACGGATGTAATTTTAAGAGAGGTGGAGGAGAACTCTCATTTTAATCCAGGGAAGCTTCCTGAATCAGACCTCTCTTTCCCGGATCCTGATTGCTTGTGGAGGATGCTGATTAGAAGACGTGGGAAATACTTCTTTCGATCTAGAACAGGCAGGTGGATGTTTTGGTAGTAGGTTTTCCTACGGACTAGGCGGGTGGAAAACTTTATCTAGAAGTGCCTCCCGTTAGTGTGGAATCAGCGGCATCAGATGCCTCTGGAGACAGAGGCTGCTCGTGGCTGAGAGCTTGCTTTCAATTCCACCTCTCAGCCAGCAGGAAACAGAAGCTCCGAAGACCTTAAAGGAAACCCAGGGGCAGCCATAAACTCTGTTTACAGCCTTCTAGGGCCCGAGAGAACCGCTGAGGAAAAGGAGTTGTCTAAGGAACCAGATAGTTATTCTATTATGTTTTTTTTTTAACCTGAAAATAAAAACTCACCGCTGATCTATGAATCATGAACTGGGCTGACCACGAGGCCTCCAGCCGGAAGGGTCGCTGAGGCCCTGGAAGTGGCCGGCCGGGCCCTCGGGAGCAGTTTCTTCTCCTCTGGGGCTTGGGGTGAAAGCATAATTTTCCTTTCTCTCCCTCACGTCCAGCCGTGCCCACCTCCAGTTTCTTCCCCGGGCGGCGCTCACATCCTCGTTTCCGATGATGCTTCCCCTCCATTTCTCCCTCCCCTTTTTTTGAAAATTTATTTAATTAATTTATTTTTGGCTGTATTGGGTCTTCATTGCTGTGCGCAGGCTTTCTCTAGTTGCGGTGAGCGGGGGCTACTCTTTGTTGCGGTGTGCGGGCTTCTCATTGCGGTGGCTTCTCTTGTTGTGGAGCACGGGCTCTAGGCACGTGTAGGCTTCAGTAGTTGTGGCATGTGGGCTCAGTAGTTGTGGCTCACAGGCTCTAGAGCACAGGCTAAGTAGTTGTGGCACCCGGGCTTAGTTGCTCTGCGGCATGTGGGATCTTCCCAGACCAGGGCTTGAACCCGTGTACCCTGTATTGGCAGGCAGATTTTTAACCGCTGCGCCACCAGGGAAGCCCTCCCTCTCCTTTTTACAAAATGTATTTCTCTATCCACTCACTTCCTTTCTGCTTCCTGGGAGTGATGACCAATACACCAAAGTGCTAATATCATACAAAACATGCCAGAAAGTGCCAGAGCACAGAGAAGAAGACACCCCCTTCTTCAGACACCCCCAGGCGCTGTAGCTGGAGGAAGGTGGACTACGGCCCAGGGCCCAGGCCCTGGATGACCCTTGGGGGCCTGGTTGCCGAAGCAGCTCCAGGACGTGGTGGGCTTGATCAGCTGGAGGCAGGGTCACAGAGCAGGGGTCACAGGGCACTGAGGGGCTGGTGCAGGAACTGCTGGTGAACGCTGGACTCCCTTCCGCAGGAGCTCAGGGCCCAGGTGGACAGGTAGCTGGGCAGAGGGCACTTTGGAGAGATGTAGGTGAGAGGGGCGTGGGAACAGAGAGGAGCCTGACACCCTGGGAGGCATCCCATACCTGGGGGGCTAGGAGCTGTTCTAGAACCCTCCACAGTGCTGCTCTTTTCTCCCTCACTCACCCCTGAGCCTTACTGGGAGCAGTGGGTGAGGTGCAGACACAGGTCCCTCTCCCTCCCACCTGGTAGGTTACCGGTGAGGGGCTGGTGCTCACTCTTCAGGGGACATCCACCCATCTGGCAGACACTGACTGAAGTCTTCTGTGTCGAGCAGAGGCTTTAAGCTCATCGACTCTGGGTACCTCCACCACTGACAAGCTGTGTGACCTTCGGCAAGTGACTTAAACTCTCTGTGCCTCGGTTTCCTCATCTGTAAAATATCTTATTCACAAAAGTTAAATGAGGTAACATTTTTAAAGCATTTGGCCGAGTGCCTGGCATACAGTACACATGATACGTGTGTTTGTTCAATAAAAATAAGCTGGGAGACGAGGGATGTTCCTAACTCCATGGAGCCCGCACGTCGGGGGAGGAGACAAACAACAGACGTGAACCAATAAATGATAGAATTGCAGTGTCAAGAGGAAATTAAATCAGCAACAGGATAGAGGGTAAGTAGCAGGCAGGGGAGTGTTATTTTAATCAAGGAAGTTAATGAAGGCCTCCCAGAGGATGTGGTCTCTGCATGGAGACCGAAATGATGACCAGGACCAGCTGTGCAAAGATCAGAGGGGTGCAAGGACTTCCCTGGTGGTCCAGTGGCTAAGACTCCGTGCTCCCAATGCAGGGGCCCCAGGTTCAATCCCTGGTCAGGGAACTAGATCCCACGTGCCGCAACTAAGAGTTCGCATGCTTCAACTAAAGATCCTGCACACAGCAACTAAAGATCCCGCACACCGCAACGAAGATCCTGCATGTCGTAACTAAGACCTGATGCAGCCAAATAAATAAATATTAAAAAAAAAAAAGAAAGATCAGAGGGGTGGATGCCAGGCAGCGGGCACAGCATGTGCAAAGGGCCAGTGCGATGGAGGAAAAGTTAGGCAGGTGTGGCTGGAGCGTGGGGGCCAATGGGAGAAGTTGTGTGTGAAAGAGTTTGGAGAGAAGAAGGTCCCACGGGGGTTGGCGGTCGGGGGAAGGGATTGAAGTTCTTTTCTAATTGCAGTAAGGGACTGTTCATTTTCTAGGGCTGTGGCAACAAAGTACCACAAACTTGGTGATTTAAGACAGAAATGTATTTTCTCATAGCTCTGGAGGCCAGAAGTCCAAAATCAGGGTATTGGCCATGGTCCCTGCAAAGAATCTGGGTTGGGGGGAGCCTTCCCTGCCTCTCCCAGCTTCTGGTGGGCCCATGTGCTCCTTGGCTGTTGCTATATCCCTCCAAAGTCTGTCTCCGTCTACACCTGCTATTCTCTGTGTGTGTGTGCTCTGTGCCCTCTTTTTTTTTTAGAGAAAGAAATAGAAATTTAAAACGTTTTATTGAAGTATAGTTGATTTACAATGTTGTGTTAATTTCTGCTGTACAGCAAAGTGATTCAGTTATACTCTGTACCTTTTTTATATTAGGATACCAGTCATTGGATTTAGAACCTAAATCCAATATGATAGCATCTTGAGATCTTTAACTTAATTACATCTGCAAGGCCCTATTTCCAACTAAGTTAACATTCACAGATACTGGGGGTTAGGACTTGGACACAGTTCAACTCACTCAGAGACCACTGGAAGTTTCAGCAGAGGAGAGCTATGATCTGCCTTACGATTTAACAGGATCACTCTGGCTGCTGTGTGGAGAAGAGCGTGAAGATGGAGAGGCAAGTGCGGGCTCTTGCAGGCAGCTGAGCCGGAGATGACAGGTGAGAAAGAGAAAAAGGCATTTTCCTGTTGGACATAAACAATTTCACGGATCACCAACCTCAGACAAAGCCACTCTGTGACCACGATGGGTTGAGACAGCAACAAGACTTCTGAAATCACGTCTGAACACAGACAAAACATGGACATCATCCAAACCGCAAAATCAACCAAACATCTCCCATCCTGGCTAACGTGACTCTTTTTTTCTTTTTAAACTTATCACAGTTCTAGCTTTGTCCCGTCCTTCTTACCTTCTATATAAGAATTATTAAGATGCCCAATCATAGCACCACCCCTCATTCCTGATAGCATCTAACCCAGAGTGAAGGCTTGATTCCCTGAACCCTCCCCCAGATCATATGACAGAAGCCCAAGTCCTGTAAGAGGTCCTGACTGAGATGCCCCAGGGTTCCCCATGGTGTGTGTTCACTCTTCCTGCATCAAATTAACAAGCCCAACTTTTTGTTGACAGCCGTGCTCCTGGTGGTCTCTGGTTGAGGGGCAGGGGGGCTTTGTGGGTGTGGGACCAATGCCCCGAGCTTGGTGTAATGCTGTGCTGCTGCCATAATGAAATTCTTAATAGTTTTTTTTTTTTAATTAATTAATTTATTTATTTTTGGCTGCTTTGGGTCTTCGTTGCTGCGTGCAGGCTTTCTCTAGTTGCATCGAGCGGGGGCTACTCTTTGTTTTGGTGCGCGGGCTTCTCATTGTGGTGGCTTCTCTTGTTGCGGAGCACGGGCTCTAGGCGCTCAGGCTTTAGTAGTTGTGGTGCGTGGGCTCAGTAGTTGTGGTGCACGGGCTTAGTCGCTCCGTGGCATGTGGGATCTTCCCTGACCAGGGCTTGAGCCCGTGTCCCCTGCATTGGCAGGTGGATTCTTAACCACTGAACTACGAGGGAAGTCCCTCTTAATAGTTTTTGAACACGGGGCTCTGTACGTTCATTTTTCACTGGGCCCTACAAATTCTTTAGCTGGTTCTGCTGAAGAGCGTTGACAGGGGCTAATGCCAGGGTCATTGTGGTCCAGAGAGTGACAAGTGGGTGGATTCAGGACTGTTTTGGCCCCCCACCAAAAAAAGTGAGAAAATGCAAGGAAGAGGGAGAGAAATCCTGAATGTGGGGCTGTGTACACTGTGCTCTTTATCAAAGTGGGAAATAATTGGGTGGTGAAGTCAAATAGGTTTGGGAGTGGGAACGGGGAGACAAGAGCCTCCACTGGGTGAAAATATACTTCTTATCACACATTAGGAAATAGACATGGGATGTGACATTTTAAAAAATTGGTGACTCACTATTGTACTACTATTTTGCAAGATATTACCACAGGGGACAGGGGCAGGGGAGGAAGAATTGAGGAAGAATTGGGACTTGGGGATCTTTCTTAACTGCATGAGAATCTACAACTATTTCAAAATTAAAAGTTTAATTAAAAAAATTGGTGACCCAGAAAATCAGGACGTGAGTGGAACGCCAGGCAGCTCCGGGCAGGTGTTGCTATCTGTATTCATCGGTTCTTGAATCTGCAAGGAGTTGGGGGGCAGCTGACGCAGGCGGACTCAGCCCAGTGAAGGGCCTGCAGGGACAGTGGCAGCAGCTGTGGCACCTGAGCCTCCTTCCTGGTGTTCTCGAATTAGGGCTGATGGGGTGGAGAGCATCTCATCTCTCTGAGGTCCTGCCAAGCGCCGGGCATGGACTTGACAGAGGAAAGTTCCTTGAAGAAAGTGCTTTGGGCACTCAGCTCCTTTAGCCGTTTCAGGTCACTGCAGTAGGGGGGTCAGGCACGGGGAGCTTTGGGCTTGGGGACCGTGACTGGGAGCAGAGGCCAGAATGACTTCCGCTGGTCTCCACTTTCATGCTTCCGTTAGCAAGAACTCGTGTGGCCGGGGGTCAGGGGGGAGCATCTCATCTTGATATTTGCAGATTTATTCGTGGAACTCCCCACACATCTGGATGAGGATTTATGACTTGCCCCCTGGAGGAAATAGTTAAATGAATCGCTAAAGCACAAAACATTCCTGTAGAATTGCTTCCATATTTTATTAGACGCAGGTGAGCATGAATTATTATGAAGTCAACAGGAGGGTTTGCAAATTCGGTTCTTGCCTTTCCACAAACAACTCTTCTATGTCTAGATTGTTATGGAAAGGCTTTAATGAATGTTGGCTTGTGATGGGACTGTTGAATAACTCACTCTCTTATCTATCCATCCATCCAGCCAGCCAGCCAGCATTTATTGGGCACTCACTGTATGCCAGGTAATGCCAGCTAGGTTGCAGCTCAGGTATCATTCTCACTGACCTGCCTTCAAAAGACGCCATCAGATGTACAAGGTCCTTGTGAGATGAGCCAGTTTGGGGCTTTATTGTCGTGGGAGGGACACCATGTTGGGGGAGCGGTCTTCCTTTCATGTATCGCAGGAAGCCACTGGTCACAGAGAAAAAGGCCCATTTCCACATACCCCTCCATGGTTGGAAATGCTACTGACATTAAATTTCTCTTTCTTAGAATCTCCTCGTTTGTGTCAAGGTGTGAAATTTCTTGGGGGAAAAATGGACACAGTCATATAAAATTAGCCTTCAAGTTGAATGGATCGTATTAGTTTCTCACACTCCAGGTACTTCTGCCAAACTGATCCTGGCTGGGCACCCATGGGGTCTGGTTTCCACTCAGAATGCTCAGGATGGGGTTGGGAGATCTGGGGATGGGAGAATAAACGTCATTTGTTTCTCCTCTCCTATTTGGCAGTTAAGCATCACAGCATGGCTTGTAGGATCCCTGGAAACCCGAGGGATTGGGGACCCTTTCACCACGCTCCTTCTGCTTCCACAGAGAGGAGGTGGGGGACGGGAGTAGAGTTTACCTCCCTGAGCTGGGGATGGGAGCACGGCCACCAGTGACAGGGTCGGGCTCAGCAGTGGGTGGGGCTCACCCCACTGGGACCCTGGACTTGGAGGGTGCCAGTGGCACTGCAAGCTGACGTTCTGGGGGCGGGGCATGGAATCCGCCCCGAGGAGGGAGACTTCTTGAAGAAGAGCAAGGGGTGGGAAGGGCGCCCAGAGGCACGGTCTCTGCTGCACGGTTGATGTCTGGGGTTCTCACGGCAGCCTGTGGGATGCCTGAGCAAGGGGGCCCCTCCTGCCCCCGATTTGTGGGCAGAGAAATAGCTCAGCAAATCCAATAACATGTCCAAGATTACCCAGTGAGTTCTGGAGGCTGGATTGGAACTTACCATCCTTTCTCTACACCACGGCTTCCCGGACAGGAGCTCTGTGTGGACCCCGCCCCAAGGCAAAACAGTGCTGTAGAAAAACAATTGGGGGTGTCTGTGAGGAGGGCCCTGGACAGGGAAGGGTGCCCTTCACTGCATCTGTCCTCAGGTGAGGTCAGTTGAGAATGACCCGGGAACGCCTAGAAGCATCACTTCCCCTCTGAAGACTACAGTTCATGATCAGGCCAGGCAGACACACATGCTCTCCTTTTCATTCCAAGTAGTGGGCACCTGGATTGCTTAGAAATTCAGGAAACAGAGTTGGTTAGAAACAGGAATTCAAATGAATTGCCCCTGAAATCCAAAGAGCCCAGGGAACCAGTGGGGGAGGAGGGGTATCTGGTTCTTAGGAATCAAGCGCTCACCAGCAGCCCTTTTGGTTCAAACTTTGAAATTCATACTGAAAAGGGGTGGATCCCTCCTTCCTCGGTCTTTTGTTCTATTCAGGCTTCAGTGGATTGGATGAGGCCCACCCACTTTGGGGAGGACCATCCCACTGATTCAAGTGCTAATCTCATCCAGAAACACCCAGAAAGAATGTTTAATCTGGGCATCCCATAGCCAGTCAAGTTGACACATTAAATTAACCATCACAGCTTGGAAAGTTTCTTCCTTTCTTTCATGAAATTGGAGGCATGGTCTTTGTAGCTCAGTTTATTTCCTGGGGGAGGAGGGGAAACATTGAGAGCTACTGGGGCCCAGGTCAGGACTGAATTCTTTTATTTATTTATTTATTTATTTATTTGGCTGTGCCGGGTCTTAGTTGCAGCACACAGGATCTTGGTTACAGGATCTAGTTCCCTGACCAGGGATGGAACCCAGGCCCCCTGCAATGGGAGTGCGGAGTCTTAACCACTGGACCACCCGGGAAGTCCCAGGGCTGAATTCTTGGAGTCAGCAGTAGGGAGTGGAGAGAGGAGCCTGGGCAGCTTTGGTGAGGAGGGTTTAAATGCCAGAAGACAGGAAAAGGTATATGAAGAAGCATCCATGCGTGATATTCTTCGAGAGTCATAGACGGGATATAGATCAGAATATCTTTTGATAGTTTTTATCTAATGGCATTTCTTGGAAGGTGCTGCCACATGAGGCTGTGGGATTAACCCAGATACATTTAGAGAGTGGCCACCAGAATCTGAGAACTCAGGTGTTGTGTTCAGTGGCACCTCCTATTAAAATAATCACTCAAGATCTGAGCTCTTGTGTAATAAAGAGTGTGACTGGTTCCTGGGAGGGAGCTTCTAAGTCTTTGGAATTCCCTGAGTGATAGGAGTGCCTGTTATACATGGTGGACTCCTAGGCCCACAACTAAGTTTAGTTTATTGAGACGACTCAGGATGGGGGTGGCCACGCCATAGAGACCATAGAGACCAACCACGGGACTAGCAGGCTGGGTCCTTGAGCCAGGTGATGTCAGCCTGCTACAATCTGAATGTTTTTGTCTCCCCCAGATTCACGTGCTGAAATTCTAACCCCCAATCTGATGGTATTTGGAGGTGGGCCCTTTGGGAGGTGATTAGGTCATGAGGGTGGAGCCCTCATGAATGGGACTGTGACCTTATAAAAGAGACCCCAGGGAGCTTCGTAGCCCCTTTGGCTATATGAGGACACAGTGAAAAGATGGCCATCTGTGAACCGGGAAGCAGGCTCTCACCAGACACTGAATCTGCTGGTGCCATGATCCCACATTTCCCAGCCTCCAGAACTGTGAGAAATACATGTTTGTTGTTTATGAGCCACCCAGTCTATGGTGTTACAGACTGCTGTTTATAGCCACCCAGTCTATAACAAAATATAGACTATAGCGTTTATACAGAGCGTCTATATTTTGTTACAGTAGCATGAATGGACTAAGAAACAAGCCAGACTTTGGGGGTGGGATGGGGTAGGAGGGCTGGAGATTGAGTTCAGTCACCTGGCCAGTGATTCAACGAGTCCTACCTACAGTGAAGCCCCAATAAAAGCTCTGGGCCCTGACACTTGGTGGAGCTTCCCGACTGTTGAACACATGGGTATGCTGGAGGGTGGCACACCCAGACCTCACGAGGAGAGGGAACAGAAGATCCTCCCAGGCCTCGCCATGGGGCCTCTTCACTTGGCTGGATCCTTTATAATGAAACTGTAACCAGAAGGACAGCACTTACCTGAGCCCTGTGAGTCATTCTAGCAAATAGTTGAACCTGATGGGGGTTGTGAAAACCTTCCAGATTTGTGGCCACTTGATCAGAATTGTGGGTGGCCTGGGGGCCTCCAAAGTGTGGCTGGTGTCTGAAGTGGGTGCAGTCTTGTTGGGGACTGTACCCTTGAACCTGTGAAACTTGTGCTAACTCCACAGGGGTAGAGTCAGAATTGCACTGCGGTAACTGCAGAGACAAGAGAACACCATGCCTTACTGCATTTCTTTCAAGCGAGAAATATCTTTTGTAAGCTTATTTTGCGTCAGGCATGGCAGTGGGTGCCACACATCCCACCTAACTGTTGAATGTCATGTTACTAAAGGAATTCATGAAGCTTAGAATATCGCTAGTGTCAAAGGGGCGACACTGTGAAAAACACACTGAGATCGGAATTACTATTTTTAGGAGGATGCACAGATTTGGAGAACCAGATTTTCACATAAATTCATTAAACCAAGGAAGTCTAAACGCTTCATGAAGTTAAGGGCTGCAAAGTAATCTTCAGGCTTGCTTTAAGGGGTATTGTTTGTGAATAACTTGGAGTCGTTTCTGGCTAGAGAAAGGATGCTGGCGGCAGACATCCCTGCTCTGTCCTTAGGTCTCCTGGGATGTGCCAGTTGCACTGAGTTTGCTGACTACTAGGTTGGGGTAAACTGTTGGCAGGGACTTGGGGTGTGCCCAGGGCATAGTTTACTAAGAGGAGGAAGGGCTTGGGGACATCCTGACCCTCATGGGGATGGGTGGGCACGGGCAGAGAAGAACGGGTGGATGAGGGTCTGCAAGTTCCTTTACCGAGGTGTTCCTGGCCTGGAAGCCAGGCCCCCTGTTTCTGAGGTGGTCAGTCTCTGTTGTAGGGACACTCTCACTGGATTAGGGCACCTCGTGATTCAGTATGATCTCAACTCTAACCTTAATAATTACATCTGCAAAGACCCTGTTTCCAAATAAGGTCACCTTCTGAGGTTCTGGGTGGATATGAATTTTGGGGGACACACCATCCAACCCATTACACCCTCTAAGTGTCAGTCAATTGGTAGACAGACCAAGGGGGCCAGAAGAGGTCCATTGTCAGCATTATCACAGTACAGCTGAGCTGGGAGGTTATCTCAATAGCTGGGAAGAGGGAATATTTATAAACTCCTGACACTGTCCCCAAACACAGGATGCCCAAGGTCACTTCCTTCTTTACTGTGAAGAATCTCCTGAACAGCCTCTGCCTTTCCTGCTGTCCTCAGCTCTTTGGGAAGAAGCTGAATCCTTTATTTAAGGTCTAAAGAGATTGTCTGAACAAAGACTAATGGGTTAAGCCCAGGCACAAGATGACAAATTGTTCTCTTCTGCTGTCTCAGCCCCAAGGAAGGTTCTAAAAAGAGACTAGGATGCTCTGGGCTGGAGCAGAGGGCTGGATGTGGCCCACCGCGGGCTCGCCCCTCTGTCTGTCCATCCCACCCTGACACCAGCTAGACCCCCAAGCAGAGAACAATGCTGCTGCAGCCAAAGAGCAAACGGTTTCTGACTCCAGGCCACTTGTTATTCTTTTGTTCAAAGAATAAAAGCACAGTTTGAGACCAGAGAGGGGAATTAGGCCCCTAAGAGTTCTGAAACCGGAAGGGGGTTCCCTGCTCCTTGCCTGACTTCCTCCACCTACCCCTGCCACCTAGACTCCAGCTGGGCCAGTGAGGGGAGTCGGGTCCGCACTACTACACGGGGGGGCCAGAGCGGAAGGCCAGGTCCTGCTGCCCAGGTGCGTGGGCTGGCAGAGGAGGGGGCTGCCACCCCACGTGAGAGGCAGGAAGGACTGTCCCTTCTTCCCCGTCCACCAGGCCCTTGCCCAGGGTGAGCGGGCAGAGGGTGGTCTTTGATTCATGGTAGCACCAGCCCCGCCCTTGACAATCGATCACGGCGGTCACTTGTCCACCATGACAGGGATGGAGAAGGGAGAGCCGGGTGGGTGCTTCTCCCACAGTCTTCCTGGGAGGTGGAAGTGAAAGCAGTTTCTATTTTATGGGCCAAGGTGGGAGCAGAGGAGGGGAGCTCAGCCTCCTGCTCAGGGGGTGGCCAGGGCTGGGTTTCCCATGGGGCCTGACAAGGTTCGGACACCCGCTGAGTTTGGATCCGTGAATACCGGGCAAGGCCTGTGGTCTCTGGCACCCAGCGGACTCAGCCCCAAGAGGAGGTGGCGCTCAGGGCGGCTGTTTCCTGGCTCTGCCCCCAGTAAACACGGCAGGGGCCTCCAAGGGGCCGGAGCCCACCCAGTGCAGAGCTGAGGGCTGGCTGAGGGCCAGGGCGGCGCTGTGGTGCTGGGGCCACAGGTGCTGGGCTCGGGGCTGGAGGAGGACATTGGCGATGCTCAACTTCTTCCCGAGAAGGGCCTGGTGCAGAGCGCCGACGGCGACCCTCCCAGATTTCCGAGCCGCTTGTGGCGTGGGGGGCTGGGCGGTGTTGCAGAACAAATGGGGAGTGGAACTGGGTGTGGCGAGGGCGGGAGGCAGCCTGGCAGGGTCTTACCTTTGCTGTCTGCCTCTCTGACCGGTCCAGAGTGAGGAGGCCTCTTCATGCTGTCTGCCTGTGCCCGGGAGGCAGGCTGGCGGCTCTCAACAAGAAGCATCAGGATCCGGCCGGGCCGCGGCCCACCTGAGTGGGGCAGGTTTTCCTCTCTCTCCTGGCTTTGCAGAAGGGCTGCCCTGGGGGACAGTGTGGGTGGCTCTGGGGACCGGAGGGAGATGAGCTCAGGATCGCAGACCTTGAACCAGGGGCCAATCTGAGAAGTAGGAGGATTTGAGGGGTCATGGACCAACCTCCCAGGGAGTCGCCACGGCCAGCCCAGGGCACAAGAGGGCCCGGGGGTGGGGTGGGGTTGGAGGAGGGCCCAGCCCAGGCTTGAGTCCGCTGCAAGCAGGAGTAAATAATGAAACACTGCAGCTACTTACAGAACCACCATCTGAAGGATGCTTGTGGATTTCTTTCTCTCTTTTTTTTTTTAAATTTATGTTTGGCTGCGTTGGGTCTTTCTTGCTGCGCGCAGGCTTTCTCTAGTTGTGTCGAGCAGGGGCTACTCTTCGTCGTGGTGCGCGGGCTTCTCATTGCGGTGGCTTCTCTTGTTGCGGAGCACAGGCTCTAGGTGCACGGACTTCAGTAGTTGTGGCTCTCGGGCTCAGTAGCTGTGGCTTGTGGGCTCTAGAGCGCAGACTCAGTAGTTGTGGCACATGGGCTTAGTTGCTCCGCAGCATGTGGGATCTTCCCGGACCAGGGCTCGAACCCACGCCCCCTGCACTGGCAGGTGGATTCTTAACCACTGCACCACCTGGGAAGTCCCGTGGATTTCTTTTGACTTCTCCTTTGCACCCGTGGAGTGTCTGCCTCATGTGTTCCCACCCGCCAGAGAAGCTGAGACTCCAGGCTGGCTGTTTTAGGTTTGGTTCCTGGTTGAACAGATTGTCCCAGAGGCACCAAACATCTGGACTTCCTCGGCCCCCAGTGTACCCCAGCCAGTGGGGATTGCCGGAGTTGCTGCCGGGGAGGCCTGTGCCCACACCTGCCACATGAGCCATTCATTAGGTTGTGTAACAGACAATCCCAGTTAGGGAAAGAGAAACCACCTGGGTATTTTTAAAAAGAGTGAATTTGTTGGTTACTCTAATGATTAGAGAGTGGAGAAACCAAAGGGTAAAGTGAGGCAACTCATGGATTAGCAATGCAGGAAGCCACAACCATCCCTGGGACTGGAGAGGCCAAGGGAGGAAGTGGTTTTACTGGACCCCGGGATCCGGAGCCATTTGGTGGAAGGGGGAGTCACGGCAAGAACCACGGACCCTCGGGAGCTGGGGCTGCAGAGGGAGCGACTGTGCAGCAGGTGCCAGAGACGTGGAGGAAAAGGAACCATGTGGAGAAGTGGGGGCACAGACCCTGGCTTCTTTCATCCTGCTTTCCAATTTTTAAATATTTGGATAAAATACACATAACATAAAATTTACCACCTTAACCATTTTTTTTTTTTTTTGGCGGTACGCAGGCGTCTCACCGCTGTGGCCTCTCCCGTTGCGGAGCACAGGCTCCGGACGCGCAGGCTCAGCTGTCATGGCTCACGGGCCCAGCCGCTCCGCGGCATGTGGGATCTTCCCGGACCGGGGCACGAACCCGCGTCCCCCGCATCGGCAGGCGGACTCCCAACCACTGCGCCACCAGGGAAGCCCTGTTTGTTTTTTAAATAGCAGCCATCCTCATGGGTGTGAGGGGATATCTCATTGTTGATTTGTATTTTTCTAATGATTAGTGACTTTGAGCATCTTTTCATGCACTAGTGCCTCCTATTAACCAAACTTACCCAGAAGCCAGAGGGCAAGTGAGCTTGGGAAGTGTAGTTTTTTGCATTACGGAGTAAAGCAGGGAAGGCAAGGCCCAGGTGACAGCTGTGGGTGTGTGTGAGGTGGGTGGGTAGAGCAGGTGGCACTGTAAAGCCAGCAAATATCCCAGGTAGTGGAAGCTCACAGAGAACAGTAGTGACATAAGGGACTCAATCTCCAGCACACATCAGTGTCCTGTGGAGGAAACCAGAACCCAGGGAGGGGTAGGGACCTGCTGAGATCTCACAGAGCAGGTGGCAGAGCTGGGGTTTGCACCTGAGTCTGCCTGACTTCCAGATGAAAGCTCTTCCCACTCTGTGCTCCCTGCCATCCGCATGATGCCTGCAAGGATGAGGCTCACCGGTTATGAACGTGCCTTGCATTTTCACACCTCATGGCTTTGCTTGTGCTGTTCCCCCTGCTTGGAATGCTTTTCCCTCCTTGCCCACCTGGCAAACTTGTACTCTCGGCAGCTCAGCTCAAATGCCCACTCCTCTAATCTGACCACCAGGGAGAACAAACCCCAAACCATGAACTATTGGCTCAATCCGTCTAAACAGCACAGAACAGTGACGGGGTCCCTGTCTTCACTCCATGTTGGATGCCTAATGTTTTTCTTTTCCCAGCATGCTGTCCATAGACTTCTGATGACTCCGAATTTCCTCTAGGGGTCTCCCCCCACCGTTTCTTGTGGATTGGGTAGTGATGACACCCCTCATCCCCAAGTTTATTATGCAATCCATCTTCCTGGTCACAGTGACTGGCCCTGAGACTTTAGCTGAGCCCTTGGACAAGAGAGACCGTCTTCCACAGGGCTGGTAAGGCCATGAAGATACCATGGGGACCAGGCCTGCCTGAGAGTGAAGCCAACAGAGGGGAAAGCACAGTCCTGGGCTGCAACAGCAGTGAGTCTTGACAACATTGTTTCTGTGCCTGGATACAGCTATGCCTGAAGCCACCTTTCACCTGTAGACGCTAATAAGTTCCCTCTTTTAGCAAGACCAAGTTGTGTTGGGATTTCAGTCACTTACCACTGGAAGCCATGATTGATGCATGTGCCTTGTGCCCAAGTCCTGGCCTTACATGCCTTGTTGATTCAGAATTCCTTGGCTCGTAGCTCTGTAGGTCTGGTCCCCAGGACAAATGGTCCTTCTGAATATCCTGTAGTATGTGGTCTGCACAGAGAAAAGCAGATCAGAAATCGGTGGGATACCACCTGGGGAGTTTCAAGTCAGGAGGGCACACTTTTCCTGATTCCAGCTCGGTGACTTGCCCAAGGCCCCCAGGTGGTGGGTGGTGGAGCTGGGACCAGCCAGGAAGTCGGGCCCCTTGGCTGCTTTACTCGAATCTGGGTCTCTGGCAAAGGCTCTAGAGGGGTCTCCTTGTTAGGCCAGGATAAGAGACCCGTTCCTCTTCCTGAAACAGCCACAGAGCCGAAAGAGCATTGCTTGGTGAGAGAGCAGAGTGCTGAGGCTTGGAGGCCTCGGTGGCCCTGCCCTTGCTGAGGCAGGCCTGTCCCCTTCCCAGTTGCCCAGGAGGGCCCCTGCAGGGCACATGGTGCCCTGTGCTTCAGGGACAAAGCCGGAAAGAAGCCCCAGCGCCTCGTCAGCTCGGCACCACCCCCCGCCCTCCCCGGGCACTTTACACATTCAAAACCTATTTTAGAAGTAGCAGCTCATCTGATTCTTTTTAATGCACTTCCAGGCAGCACAGATGTGCATCAGGGAAAGAATGTTCCTTGAACCAAAGTGCTTCTGTGGGCCTCATGCTCCTCTCCCTTGGCGCCCACTGCCGGGCCAAGAGCCTCCTATGAACCATGCATTAGTTCTGGTGATGGCTGCACACAGAGGGTGCAGCTCTTGAAAAGGGAGGGGTGTCCATTGTGCACTCAGGAGGCAGGGGTCAGGGAGGTGAAGCTGGCAGTGTCCAGAGCCCTGCCGCCAGGTCACGTGGGGACGGGGCCCTGGCTACTGCCCCTCCCGCGCTGTCATCCATATGTGAGAGACTTTATCCTGAATGGGGGATCTGGCACCTGAACAGTCCCAGATGGACTGGCTTGCAGGGAGGTGCGGTGGGGAGGGGACCGACAGATACAAAACAAAGCGCAGGGCGGGGCGGACTCTCCACAGGTGAGGAAAGGACGAATGACCAGACTGAGAGATGCAGGGCCACACGGCAACTCCCAGATCAGAATGATAGCACGGAGCTCCTTAAAACACACAGAGACATAAATTAAGCCTTGCAAGCGCCTGTCCCGAAAAACGTGTCAGCCAGACAGATGACGGAGGGAAGACGTCTGATGTTTCTGTCGTTTGCAAAAATACATGTTTTTGATTTGGAGGGGGAGGCACCAAAAGCCATGCTTTAACTTTTAAAGGAATTTTCAAAGGTTGTTTTTTTCTTTTCCAAAGCTGAAAAATGTCCCTAGAAGGGAACGTGAGCCATGTGTTATTGAGAGATGTCAGTCTCTCCCTTCAGTGATGTGAAGGAAGCCCAGGGCTACACCAGCCAAGCAGGTATTCCCAACCACGGTGGTCTTCTGGGGGAGGGCCCGGTGCAGGGGGCGCAGAGCTCAGCTCCAACGTCCATTACACACTGAAGGCTCATATGCTGAAACACTCAGGATCTTTCTCTGACTCATGATGTCAACCCACTTCCTGGGCAGTGTCCCTGTGAGTCTGGAAGGCATGGAGCTGCCTGTCTCGGGGCAGCCCCTCATCCCCAGCACCCTACGGATGAGGACTCAGGGGAAACCAGCAGGAGTGGATCCAAGGTCTGTGAGGCCTGAAGCTCAGCCCATTTGAGGGATTCTCTTTGAGAGAAAGGATACATAAATACAATATGGATTTAGGTATGAAAGCAAATGTTGATTTACAGTGAGAAAGGAAATCACCACCAAGTACCGGGAGCCCTGGGAATCTAGGTCTTTTTCTTCTGCAATGCCTTTAGGCAATTTATGAGACATGTTTGCTGAATCCAAGCTGACTTCTCTCCCCACCTAGAACACTCTATGACTGCCAGCATCTTCCAGCTCTTCCAGGGGCCCAAGCAAAGGAGGGGTCCTGACACTCGGGCTTTGTTAGCTTTACCGAAAATCTGCCCCTGGAAAACAAGGCTGACTAGAAAAGTCGTATCTCTGCCTTGGCTGGGTCTGCCTGCAGTGGGACCCAAGATCTGTGAGTAAATGAGAGGCAGGAGGATTTGGAAAGACCCAGGACTCCTGTGCTCCGGGATTTGGGGGCAGTTGCCCAGAGGCAGCCAGGCGTGGGTTTGCAATTTCAGTTGATGGAAACCTGGCCAATTGAATCATATCCTGTTGGGAGAAATATCACATAGCGAGAAGGGGCTGGTAAGCCGGGGCCTGGAGACAGCTGTGGGCAGAGCCGTCCAGCTGGGGCCAGGGAGGAGGCATCCTGGCTCTGGCATCCAGGTTGTCTGCCAAGGCTGATCCGTGGCGTGGGAGAGGGAGCCTCCGGCTGCCTAGAGCCAGAACCCCCGCCCGAGTTTACCTCACTCTCCTGTTCTGGTTCCAGGCTAATCAGGTGAATTTGTGGGCATCACAGTCATTCTCCTGGAGGCCTGCCTGCCGGACAGGAGAGTGCAGATGGTGTGGAAGGAGGTCTTTCCACCAAAGTGGCCAGCCGACGGTTGTCTGGCTCTCCTTAGAGCCTGCCAGAGGGAGAGAGGGTGCTGTCCTGTCAACCTGCACATCTGATAATTGTATTTCTCGGGCAAATCATTAAATTGACATCATGGTTTTTATTTATCACTTTCTTTGAACTTGGTTCATGCCCGCTCACCCCCAAGAGAGATGGAACCATTCACTATGCCCTCAAAATCATGTCTGGTGCAGAGCCAGCGCCATAAATATCACTCGAAGGAATGGAAATTAGATTTTGAGCCTGCAGGAGAAGGCCAAGCCCAGACAGTAATGCATTCCCAAGGAAAATGGTCACCTTGGGAGGGCCAGGCTAGGGGAGCAGCTGGCCTGTCCTGGGCTCTCTCTGATGTCTCACAGTGAGCTGTGGGGTTTTTTTCTTTTTAATTTTTATTGGAGTATAGTTGATTTACAATGTTGTGTTACTTTCTGCTGTACAGCAAAGTGAATCAGTTATACATATACATATATCCACTCTTTTTTAGATTCTTTTCCCATATAGGTAATTACAGAGTATTGAGTAGAGCTCCCTGTGCTATACAGTAGGTCCCTGTTGGTTATCTATTTTATATATGGTAGTGTGTATGAGCCATGGGCTTGAAGTGAAAACTGCCACAGAAACGTGGGTATCCCTTTGTTATGGGCTGAATTGTATACCGAATCCTCCCAATTCATATGTTGAAGTCCTAGCCTCCAGCAACTCAGAATGTGACTCTATTTGCAGATAGGGTCTTTAAAGAGGTAATTACATTAAAATGAGGTTGACAGCCAGCTGGGAACGGAGCTGAAGTTTCTGTACAAGCCCAGCGGAAGGCTCGTCCAGCACGCTCCAGGGCTGCCCCCCCTGCCGGCTTTCCGCTGGCACCACGTTCACTCAGGAAGGCCCTGGTCTTCTCTGCCCTGTTTGTCCCGGCTGTGACTTTCCTCATGCCACCCCTGGAGGCGGCCCCTGATATGTGTTTGGAGAACACACACAGGCTTTCGAATTCTCTACGGATGTGGAGTCAACTACCCTCAGCTTTGGGGAAGAAGCCAAGGGGGCCAACAGCCAATTACAATTCCATTTACACTTTGTGAGTGGAGATCATGCAGATATCAGTGTTGTTTATTCCAAGGAGCCCACGACTGGAGCGCCAGCCCAGCCCGGGCCGGCCCCTCCACGGGAAGCCACGAGTCTGTTTCCAGGCAGGCTTCAAATGAAGCAAAGTCTCCACTAGCTGTGACCACCACTCTGCTGCCCATCACTTCTGAGAAGATTCTGAACTTCTGCCCAGAAGTCTCCATTCTGGAAGACTGCATGTTTGTGGAAGACTAGTGAAATAGGATGTACCCAGCCAAGGAGAAACAGCAGGGCATTGTACACAGATGAGGAGAGGGTCATTTCTTAACCAGGTCCCGTTTAATGTGGGCTCAATAAATGTACATTTGAATTGAAAAAAATATTAAGTCGAGGTCATATGGGTGGGCCCTCACCCAATAGGACTGCGGTCTTTATAAGAAGAAGAGATTAGGACACAGACACACAGAGAAGGAAGACCACGTGAAGACACAGGGAGACGACGGCCATCTACAAGCCATGGAGAGAGGCCTCGGAAGACATCAACCCTGCTGACACCTTGATCTTGGACTTCCAGCCTCCAGAACTGGGAGAAAATAATGGCTGTTATTGAAGCTGCCCAGTCTGTGGACTTTGTTAAGTCATCTTGAGCAAAGTGATACATTCCTCACCCCACCCTGCTGGCCCCTGTGGCGTCCTGTGGATGAGAATGCCTGCACTCTCCTGGGGCTGCTCTCTTCTCTCTACTCCCTGCCCTGGAACTCCATCTCTTGCTCACATGGCTGTGGCAGTCTCCTCCACTCTGCAGCCAGGGTGAGTCTCCTAAAGCCCAAACTGACCACCTTCGTTCCCAGCTTGAAGGCCTCCATGCCTCTCCACTGACCAAAGATAAACCTCAAACTCCTAAACGTGGCCCTCTGAGCCCCCCGCCTCCAGAGCTTCATCTGCCCCCATTCCTACTTCCTACTTTGCTACAAACTGTCTGCACTCTCCCCTCACCACACATTTTTGGGTCTCTGTGACTTAGTTTGTGTATTAATTTGCTAGAGCTGCTGTAACAAAGTACCACAGATGGGATGGCTTAAACAACATACATTTATTGTCTCACAGTTCGGGAGACCAGAAGTCCAAGATCAAGGTGTGGGCTGGGTCAGTTCCTTCCAAGGGCTGTGAGGATCTGTTCTAGGCCTCTCTCCTGGGCTTGTAGATGGCCATCTTCTCCCCATGTACCTTCCCATGGCATCTCCTGGTGTGACTGTCCCTGGGTCCACATTTTCCCCATATAAGGACACAGGTCATATTGGACTAGAGCCCACACTAATGACCTCATCTTAACTAATTACATCTACAAGGACCCTATTTCCACATATAGGCACATTCTGAGGTGCTGGGGGTTAGGACTGCAACATATAAAATTTTGGGGGACACAGTTCAACCCATTACACATGGATATGCTGTTGTCTCCATCTGGTATGTTCTTCCCCTTGTTTCTTTTTCTGGATAACTCAGTCATCCTGGAAGATGTAGTCCCAGCTGGACCCTGCCCCGCCCAGTCCCCTCCCCATCCTCCCCTTACTCCTGACCTGTGCATCCAGGCCCCATTCCCGTGGGCCCCGCCCACCCTGGCCCCGCCTTGACCACGCCCCAGCACCACTCCTCTTGCACCCTTCACCTGCCTGTCCCAGTCTGCACCGAGTGTGGGGTCGCTGCACCCACCTCACACCCCCTCCCTCACTCTCCCCAACCCCAGGTACCTTGGGTCCCCTTCTGCTTTGTCCTTTAATTCTGCTCATCATCTTCCTTCTCCCTCTGCCGTTGTTTGTTTCCAGAATTAATGAGACTGAAATTACTTTTCAGAACTTTTGGGGGATTCGGGGCGTCCCTCCAGGAAGGCAGGAGATGCCTGGGGGAAGCCTGGTGCTCCTGAGTCGTTAAACGATTCTGGGGTCGAGGAGGCTCCCTGCAGGAGTGCTTCTGCAGGATGCAGTCTGCAAACAAGGATTGTTGATGTGCACGTCGCCGGGCCTGGGGCGGGAAGGGGCGAGCTAGCGGCTCCTGACAAGAAGGAGGAATGTTAGTAACAGCAGCGGCTCACCTCTGGGTAATTTACCAGCCTTGTTCATGCCACCGTCTGAGTTGATCCTTATTAACAAATGAAAGGGACTTCCCTGGTTGCCCAGTGGTTAAGAATCCGCCTGCCAATGCAGGGGACACGGGTTCGAGCCCTGGTCTGGTAAGATCCCACATGCCGTGGAGCAACTAAGCCCGTGCGCCACAACTACTGAGCCTGCGCTCTAGAGCCCGCGAGCCACAACTACTGAAGCCCGTGTGCCTAGAGCCCGTGCTCCACAACAAGAGAGGCCACTGCAATGAGAAGCCCGCGCACTGCAACGAAGAGTAGCCCCTGCTCACAGCAACTAGAGAAAGCCCGTGCACAGCAACGAAGACCCAACGCAGCCATAAATAAATAAATAAATAAATAAATAAATGAAACAAAACAACAAAAAACAAATGAAAGGCAAAAAATTCATGCTGGCATTGTTTCTATCCCCATTTTAAAGACTGGGAGACTGAGATCTGCCTCTTTGGAACAAGGAGATGTGACAGGAAAATGGGGAGGAAACCTTGAGCTTGGACAGGGAGTTGGGGTCCTGTTCTGAAACCACAGGAAGGGGAAGCCACAGAGGGAAAGGTGGCTGAGAACCAGCACAGCTGTCTCTGTGCTTAGCATCTAGGCCAAGCTCAGTACCTTGGCTGCGTGAGCCCAGGACCAGCTGCAGGCCTGCATGGGGCCCACCAGACCCCCACGTGGTGAGAGAAACTTCCTTCTACCCCAAACCCTGGGCTGAACTGACCAAAAAAAGGATCTCCCACATTCTCCAGGTTTTCTTTATTTGAAAAGCCGTGTTCAATAACCCCATCAAAGCTGCCAACTGACCAGACCCAGAGACTGGCTGTCTCAAGGAAACAGTAAACTAGATGAAAGATGACTTTCTCCTACTTGGTTGACATGCTTTACGTGTGATCGCTCCTATGACAACAGAAGGTATATAAAAAGGCTCAGTTACGGCTTCTTGGAAATAATAAAATAACTTGGAGGGACTGGTATGCCAAGGAGCCTGCAGATGAATGTCTGGCTGTAAAAGAGGACTAGCCTCATGTTTTGTCAAGTTGCAGCTCAGCTGCCTGGCGGGTGAGGAACGGAAAGAGGGATTATTTTGAGAATGGTTTAGGATGCATCCAGAAGGGTCCAGTTCATTGTATGATCAACATTCAGACTTGAATGAAGGGAGCGAGCATTACAGTTTTCTCGCTTTGAATATCCTTTTGGGAGATAGCAGTTTTAGGACTGAGTATAAAATCTAATAATTATCAGCTACTCCTGTATAGAGAAGAAATCCATGTTCAGACTCTATAGCATGTTGTGCCACCTGGAGGTGAGGGGTCATTACCTCCACATTACAAATGGGAAAACTGAGGCTCTGCAGGCACAGGGACTGTCCAAGGCCTCAGAATAAACAAGAAACAGAACTGGGAATCAACCTAAGCATCGGCTAACTTCCAAGTCTCTGCCCTGTGGTCACACTGTAATATAATGATTTAAAACGGACTGTTCTCTTCCAATTGTACTTTAAAAATATGTAATAGGAAAGCTCCTTTAAGAAGACTTGGAAATAAATGCTTCTGTTACCAAAATAAAATCCATTTTAAAAAAGCCACTCATTAGAACATAATGGGATATATTCATTAAAATTATTGGCTCAACATTAGCTTTCTCTGCCCTTGTTAATTTTAAATATTTTTAAATATGTGGCAAGACAGACCTGAAATTATTTGTTTAATTTATTATGGTAACATCTTAGTGTTTAATGTATTTCCAACACCTTTGTAAAGCAATATCTCACTTTGGTGTCTTTTTTCTCCTTCTTTTTCTTTTCTATCTAAAATTAGAGTTGGCTTAAAAGACATGGAAATGCAGGGCCAGTGTGGAGGTGGGACTCTCCCTTCTAGGAATGTTTTATTCCAGTTCCTTGAGTTAATTTTTTTTCCCCAATTTTATTTGGGTATAATTGAAGTATGTGAAACCCTACATAAAGTGTACTATTTGATCCATTTTGACATATATATTTATATATCCATCACTATACTCAAGATAAACATTTCCATCATGCTCCCCCCCAAGTTTCCTCATGCTCCTTTGTAATTCATCCTTCCCCTTCCTATCCCCAGGCAACCACTGATCAATCTTTCGATTACTCTGCATTTTTTAAGAATTTTATATAAAGAAGACTTGGAAATAAAAGCTTCTGTTACCAAAATAAAATCCATTTAAAAAAAGCCACAGAACTGTTATACAGTATGAAGTTATACAGTATGAATTTTTTTTTCGCTCCATTTAGTGATTTGAGAGTCATTCACACTGTTATATATCAACAGTTTGTTCCTTTTTCTTGCTGAGTAGTATTCCACTGAATGGATATACCACAATTTCTTTATCCATTCACTCATTGATGGACATTTTGATTGTTTCCAGCTTTGGCTATTTTGAACCAAGCTGCTATAGACAGGTGTATGAGACTTTGTGTGGACATAAGATGTCATTTCTCTTGGGTAAACATCTAAGAGTGAAAAGACTGGGTTACATGGCAAGTGTATCCTTAACTTTCTAAGGAAACTGTCAGACTGTAATCCAAGGTGGGTGTACATTGTACATTCCCATCAGCCAGGAATGAGAGTTCCCGTTGATCGACATACCTGTCAATTCTGGCATTGATTTCTTTTTTAACATCTTTATTGGAGTATAATTGCTTTACAATGTTGTGTTAGTTTCTGCTGTATAACAAAGTGAATCAGCTATATGTATACATATATCCCCATATCCCCTCCCTCTTGCATTTCCCTCCTACACTCCCTATCCCACCCCTCTCGGTGGTCACAAAGCACCGAGCTGATCTCCCTGTGCTATGAGGCTGCTTCCCACTAGCTATCTATTTTACATTTGGTAGTGTGTATATGTCAATGAATTCTGGCATTGATTTTAATGTATAGTTTTGGACTGCGCCAGGGAATAAACTATTGGCTTATTTAATGATTGTCTATCTCTAAGTCCCATCAATGTTACCTTCTAAATATCTCTCCTTGCTCACTGCTCCTGCCTTATTAACTCTCTCCTAACTGGCCTTCCCAAGGGTACTTTCTCCCCTTCAACCCAGGCTCCATGTGCCAACCAGTGGGGTCTCTTCACGATGCAAAACTGGGGGCGCCTTTACCCTGTTTAAGACCATGTCACAGTTTCCAAGTAGTGAGAATACATCTCTCCCAGAATACAACTGTAACCCTGTAAGATCTGCCCTGATGGCCTAATCCCATGCCCCAATTCCCAGAATCCAGTCTTCCTTCTATTCTTTTAGTGGTTAGATTCAGCCAGAAAACATGCTTTGTTTGGTTCCTACCTGATGTACGCACATTGTTTTATGATTTTTTTAAAATTTGGAATAATTTGTCAACATTAAACACATAAAAATCCATAAAAACATTAGTGGGTGGGCATTCCCCCTGAGACAGATGTGAGCCAGAGCTGATGGCCGCTCCTTTAAGACAGGGTAGGTACCTGCCCACGCCTCACCATGTGCCCCCGCCCCCTTTCCGTGCACCTGCTCATCTCCACGCACCTTTGCTAAATTCACACCTGTTCCTCTTTCAGATCTGACCTGAGAAGGGGAAGCCTCTGAATCTCCCATCCTACCGCCTCCAGCACAGGGAACCCACACAGGCAGGGAGGTCTCCATATAGCGTGTGTACCAGGGCCACGCCTCCTCTCCTTCCGGCCCTTGACTTCGTGAAATTGGTCTGCTGACCGCTCAAGACTCCTAGGATGTGAACACAAAGCCGCTTCAGTCTCTTGGGAGGCAGGGTAGGGGACTGAGGCCGTTACAGCAGCTCTGCAAACAGGAGGAGAGTTAATATGATGCATGAAATGGGATTTTCAAGTCTGCAGCAAGATACAGATTAGGTCAAGAGAGGTAAGAATTCTGGAAATTACTTCAGCTCCTCCTTTAGTAGATCTGGAAGCAGGCCTGGTGGTCTGAATCCGGGAAATCTGCCCCTTCACGCCCAGTGGCTTTTGCAGGAAGTGGGGTGTGGGCACAGGGAGCTGAGCTGTGTCATTCATACACGCCCCTCCTGGTACTGGAGGTGCACATGGGTGGGGGCATTACACAGGGGCTTCTGTTTCACTTTCTTTTCAGGATCTGGGAAGGGGGGAGGTGGCCTCCCAGGCGGCCCTGCCCCAGCTGGTAGGAAGAGGGAAAGCCCTGAGTCCCCCTCCTCCAAGTGCCCCTTGGGTGGAACCAGAAATACACTCCCTTGAGAAGGATGAGGAAGCTGGACTTCTGCCTTGACCTGGGGTTGGGACCTGTGGGCAGGGATACGTGGGCTGCAGGCCTGACCTCCTGGGCCCTGGTCGGGGATGGGGCACAGCACCCCTCCCAGAGGCGAGAAAGGTCAGGGTCGACTGCAGCTCTGACCAGGCCCCAGGAGAACAGACCTCCTTCACCCCTTCACCCAGTGATGGACCCTCACAAGTGGCAGGTCTGCACACAGACCCTGGGAGCAGGGCCAGCTTTGTGGGTGTGTGGCCTGTGCAGTCCACAGGGCCTGTGCTCAGAAGGGCATGTGCTTGGTTTAATGCTCTGCTGTCACCATCTTGAAATGCGTAGCAGTGTTTGAACCAAGTACCCCACATTTTCCTTTGGCTCTGAGCCCTGAGAATTACGTAGCCAGTTCTTCTTAGCAGACACCGGCCACATGTTCATCCGAGGATGCGATAGGGTCCAGGGCCCCTTTCCCCTGGGGCTACAAGGTCATAAAACTACCCACCGTCCACATTAGCCAGATACCACCTTGAAGGGTTGGGTGGACTTCTGGGGGCCCGAGGGCAGAGAAACCCTGAAGAGACTAGAGAGACTATTTAGATTATGGAAGGATGCCGTGTTTACAAAATTAGACGAAATTTTGTTTTCTTCTTCCCTTCCCCTTCCTCCAGCTACAAGGGGGTCTGGGAGGAAGATCAGATTACCTTATAGAGAATATTTATAGAGGAATAAAGAGGCTACACTTTTCACATCTGCATGCAGTGGGAATCTGTGTGATCCTGCTAAAATGATGTATCTCTGCTTTTCATCCAGCGACACCTTCCTCAGGAGACCCAGCGAGGCGAGACAGTCTGGGAGCCAAGCCTATCACAGGGACCCCGTGTGGTGGAGAAAGCCTGCCCACATTCCCCTAGACACCCTCTTGGACTGCCAACCTCTGAATCCCTTCTTAGCCACTTGGCTTACCTTCCCCCAGCTTCAGTCTTATCGTCTGTAAAATGGGATATAATGGTACCTACCTCACCTGGTTGTCACGACAATGAAGTGAGACAGTGAACAGAACACACCCAGCCCACAGCCCAGCATGTGGCAGGAACTTGGTGGGTGTTAGTCGGACTGTTTTCCAGGAGAGTCAACGTGCTGGATGAACAGATAAGTCCCCCCTCCCCCTTAGACCTGCCTCTCCAACTGGTCACCACTGGCCATGTGTGGCTATTTAATGTTAACTTAAAATTAAATGAGATTAAAAATGCAGTTCTCGATTGCGTGAGCCACATGGCAAGTGCTCAAGAGCCTCGCGTGGCCAGTGGCCACCGTACTGGATGGCGCAGATAGAGAATATCATCCTCCATCATCGCAGAACGTTCAACAGGACAGCACTGCCTTAGGTCAGCGAGCAGAGGCAGGTCCCTAAAAGGAACAGAAATAAATAGGGAGGGCAGGTTTTGATGGGGTGAAGTTTGGGGGCATCACTTGGGTGGGAACCAGCTGTGGGGCGACAGGAGGGGATCTGAGAACACACAGCGCTTCCCAGGCCACCTGTGGGAATCCAGGACGCTGGCTTCATCCTCCACCCTCCCCAGACAGTCCACGGATGAGGCAGTCAGTGGGGTCACTTATGAGCCAGGGGACATGTTGGGTGCCTTCCCTGGCCCCGGGGAGACCTTGGAGGTGGCGCCTTGAATTTCCTTGGCAGTACAGCGAGAACAGGCAGTCACGCTGAGTCCTCATTTGTCCTCCCTAAGTGCTAAGTGATCCGTGATACACTGAGGCCCCGACTGTTTCTGAAGGGCTCTTTTAAGAGATCGCCAATAAAGTTCTAAAAGGATCGTGCCTGTTTGGGGGAAGATAATGCCAGAGCTGTGCCAGGAGTTTGTCAGAAGAGATTCCAGCCGGGTGAGTATTCAAGGAAGGAGATGAAGTTAGCACTGGGAGACAATGAATTAGATGGCTGGATGTGTCACTGTGATAATGATGAATAATAAATGACCCAGGAGCTTCTGTAACTCACAGAGCAGGAGAGGAGATTAGGGAGGGAAATTTATGGCCTTGTAGTGTGGGGGAGGGGGGTGGGGGGGGGGGAAAGAGAATGCCTCAGACGTGCCCTGGTCTTTTGAAGAGAAACCTTCTCGAAGACATACTCTGAAAACAAAAGAAAAAAGCCTCTTGTCAAAAGTGTCCAAATTTCCTCGAGATAAAGGATCTCTGGCTGTTACAGACGATCTCTCCATCTAGCCCCATCCTTCTGCGATCCCTCTCCCCACCTCCCACCAGCTCCTGCCAGCCAGAATTAGGGCAGCAGTGGGGACAGGCCACTGCCCCACCCTTCTCTGCAAATGGGCCATGGCCAGGGTGAGAAGAGCCACCAGCTGGAAAAGGACATTGGGAAATGGGTTTCAAGAGTTTCACAAGTGCAGGGAGGCTGCTATTTTTATTAGGGTCCAGGGGTTGCCTTCTTAATATCCATTCAGAGCAACCACTGGAAAGACAGGAGTCAGAAATAAAATGGGCCTCAGGTCTGTGGATCGATGTCGATCTTTAATCATTTATTCATGGTCTTCAGGGGAGCTTCAGCACAGCCTGTGTGGGAAGGCACTGAAGGGGGGACCTGCAACCCCGCCCTCCCTCCCAGGCTCTTCTTGCCAGCTTGCAAATGTGCATAAGCATCTCCCAGCTTACACAACCCTGCCTTGACCTCCCCTCTCCTCCCAGCTCGGCCCTGTTTCTGGGCTCCCTGTCAGAGCACAGACTCTCGATCAGCTCCCTGCCCTCGCTGAATCCATCCCTCTCCGCGCCCGCCGTCTGCTGCCCCTGCCGAAATCACTCACGACAAAGTCACCTCCGAGCTCTGGGTGTCCAGAATGAACGGGCATTTCCGGTCACCTCGCTGTGCCCTTGGCAGCGTCCAGCATGCTTGGCCGTTACCTCCTTTCTGAAAAGCCTTTTCTTTGCTTTCTTGGCTTCTGTGACCTCGCTGTCCCGTGGGTCTGTGACCTGTGCCGGGTCTTAAATGATAAAGCTGACTGAGTGACAACAGGGTGAGGATAATGCCATTAAAAGGAAGTTTATTGTTACTCACATTTCCCCTGGAACAGAGGCACACATCCATGCAGGGCCCGGTGGGAAAGCACCAGAGTCAGGAGGCAGAAGCAAGAGGAAGGGGAAAGCACAGGCCACATCCTTTATTGCGATCCTCGGGGGAAAGGCAGGGCCGGGGAACAGCCTAGGATTGGCTAGTTTGAATAATGGTGGCAGGGTCTGAGCTACAAGGTGGTCTCTAGACGTCTGGTGATTTAGGGCAGAGGAAGTACTGGGTTGGTGGGTGAGAGTTAGATAAAGGAGATGGTTGGGGGTCTGGACTTGGGATTGTTAGAAGGTTTGTAATATGATTTTCGCATGCCCGTGAAAGCTAGGCCACAGGGGTGGTGTAAACAATTTGACTATTAGTTTGGCCCCATGATTAAGAGATGACAAATAGACACATGCAGAATCTAAGAAAACTCAGGACAGTTTGCACCAACCTTTTGGCAGCGTTTAATAGGCCTTGGTGGAAGTATATTCATCACGGAAATTGACAGATGCTACGCATCAGGGCTCCCCTATACCAGAGAGCCGGTTGTTAAACATTTACCAGCACACCACTGCCATGGTTCATCTGCTCTGTGGCCTAAGCCAACGTGGGAGGAGAGGCTGGGGTATTTATCACCCTGCCACCCCGCCTGGCTGTGCCTCTGGCATTCTCCTCCTGCCTGGCAGTGCCCCTACAGCTCCCTGCCCTCTGGGCTCCCATCACTTGGTCCCTCTGCCCTGAGCTCGTAACAGCTTCCCACTGTTGCTAGAGCCTGGGTGCCTCACCCCCCAGTAACTCAGCCTCCTGGTTAGACTCTCTCAGCCAGGCCATTTGTGCATTGTAATTCTCACCAGGCTCCCAAGTTAACTAGGCTGCCAGATGCAGATTTTGCTGGGCAGAGCCTGCCCAGATCCCCTGGGATATACTTCTCAGTGGACTCCAGCCTGAGAGCCAGCTGACAGCATCTGCACTTCCCTGTCTGCCTGAAGGCTTTCCTTGAAGCTGCTCATAGCTGGGCATTATCGCCTCCTGAGGGTCACCCTCACCCAGCGACTGCCAGGAGTTAGAGGGTAAATGCCTGAGCTTCCCCTGTCCTCTCAGGTGGGTGACTCTGGCCTGTGCCACATTCCAGAGAGTTCTTCAGTAGGTCAACCTCCATTGCCCACAGGGGCAACTGGCTTGACAGCAAACACCACAGACTAAGTGGCTTAAGCAACAGAAATTTATGTACTCACAGTTCTGGAGTCTGGGAGTCTGAGATCAAGTTGTCAGCAGGGTTGGTGTCTGGTGAGGCCTCTCTTTCTGGCTTGCAGACAGCTGCCTTCTCACTGTGTCCTCACATGGCCTCTTCTCTGTGCTAAGGGTGCTGTTGGGGGGGGAGAGTTATTGTAAGTGTACTAGGGAAGAACAAATCTGAGTCCACATTGGATCTGTTTCTTTTTACTTTAACCTTTTGCTACCAGTTACCTATAGCCTGAAATATACATTCTCAAGGTATAGCACTTTTCCATTCATACAGAGACAAAAAGTTGCAGAACAGAGAATAACACTTGTCTTGTTGGAGGTTTACAGGAACACTGTGACCTGACCTCCCTGGACAGCTGCAAGAACAAAGGATTCTGGCACCAAGAAGTGTGCAACAACCAGCCACACCCACTCTCCTTTTAGCATAAAAGAAGCCTGAATTCTAAATCGGGTAAATGGTTCTTTGGGACACTAGTCCATCATCTTCTTGGCCTGCGGGTTTTCTGTGTAAAGCTGCTATTCTTTGCCCCCAAAACTAGTCTCTTGATTTATTGGTCTGTCGTGTGGTGAGCAATGAGCTTGGACTCCATAACATAAAGACACCAATCCTATAAGATTAGGGCCTCACCTTATGACCTCACTTAACATTAATTACCTCCCTAAAGGCCCTGTCTCCAAACACAGTCACATTGGGGGTTAGGGCTTCCACATATGAATTTTGAGGGGGACACAATTCAGTCCAAAACACCTGCCTTGCCTCACTCCCACCCACTGGGTGGGTGCTTCCTGAGGTCTGGGGTCACCTCATCTCAGGTCTGCTCTAAGACACTACTGTATGTCCCAGTCCTTCTCAGACTGTCCTCTCTAGACCACAGGCTCTCTAACCAAAGACGGCACCATCACTCTTAGTAAAGGTGACAGGCCAGTGTGGTGAGTCCCAGCTCCCACCAAGGACTCCCAGCCTGGGGCTGGTCTCTGCCCTCCTGGCTCCCAGCCCAGGCCCCGTGCTGCTTTCCTGGCCTCTTTGTTGACCCCATAGGGGATCTGGATGGTTCCAGCTAGCTTGCACCTTCCAGGGCGGGGGGAAGCCATCTTCGGGGCCAGTCATGGGGCTCCCGAATCCCAAATCCCAGAGGCAGCCGATGTGGAGGGCCAGGGAGGCCCTTCTGCTGTCCAATCCTGGAGGGCGGAGGTCTGTGCTGGGGCTGGGACAAAGCCTGCCCCGACGACCCCTCTCAGGCTCTGGCCTGGGCCAGCCCTGCCGGGGATGAGAAAGGAGGGTGTCCCCTCCTTCAGGGTTCCGGGATCCTGGAAGGGAGAGAGGCCTCTCAGAGCAGGCAGTGTGGCTCATCCATTATTCATGTAGCCCTGGGCTGCCCTCTCTAGAGCAGTTCCACTTGGATGTGAATTCCAGTCTGGTTTCAGAGTAGCAGGGACCCAGTGCTGTGGCTGCCGGCCCTAGAAGGGGAGTAAAATGTTCCTACCGGATCCAAAAGGGCCTGGGTATTTGGATCCTGGAGCCTCAACCTGCAATGCATCTATGGCCTGTTTTAGTTTGGACAGCTACTCACAGAAGACTCCTTTTTGCCATCCATCCTGATAGTTGGGGAGGGAGGCACGTTTCAGTAAGTGCCTGCAAGTCTCTCCCTCTATCCAAAGGCCCCGTGGCTTGCCTGGTCCAGGTCACCACTCTGCGTTTGGGTGTTGAAGGCTGAGGTTAAAATGTTAGGCTGGGGCTTCCCTGGTGGCGCAGTGGTTAAGAATCTGCCTGCCAATGCAGGGGACATGGGTTCAAGCCCTGGTCTGGGAAGATCCCACATGCCGTGGAGCAACTAAGCCTGTGCTCCACAACTACCGAGCCTGTACTCTAGAGCCCATGAGCCACAACTACTGAAGCCCGCGTGCCACAACTACTGAAGCCCGCATGCCACAACTACTGAAGCCCGCATGCCTAGAGCCTGTGCTCTGCAACAAGAGAAGCCACCGCAATGAGAAGCCCTCACACCGCAACGAAGAGTAGCCCCCACTCTCTGCAACTAGAGAAAGCCCATGTGGAGCAACGAAGACCCAACGCAGCCAAAAACTAAAATAGATAAATTAAATAAATCTAAAAAATAAAAAATAAATGTTAGGCTGTAGTTTGTACACAGTAGAGGAAGGGGCCAGGGCTGAGTGCTGCATGTCGGTCACCAGCCACCAGCCACATGTGGCTATTTATATTAAGATTAAAGTTAAAATTCAGTCCCTCAGTCAAATTAGCCACATTCAAGTCCTCAACAGCCTCAGTATCGAGTAGCACAGATACAGAACACTTCCATCATCATAGAAAGTTCTCTTGGCCAGTGCTGGCTTAGTGAACTCAGCCCTGGTTGGCCCTATGGGTGAGTACGTGTGGTTCTCAGCTCTCACGGAACAGAAAGTGTCCCCTGAATGCTTATTAATCACGTAGCTTCCTGGAGAGCAGCTGCTAGCCCAGCTCCCAGTGCCTGTGGCCTCCTTCCCTCCACCCTCTCCCATCTTCTTCTCTGCTCCTGGCCCTTGGTTGGCCCTTCCTAGGTGCCTAGGGTGAGGCTGGCCCATGGATGGATCTTCCTGCCACTGTCGACTCCTACCAGGGTGGGGGCCTGGGAGTGGACGTGGGTGTTCTGTGTGGCCGCCCCTCTGCACAGCCTGCGTGGTTCTGGGGGTGCTGCTGCTCTGGGACTGTGCCCAGAGTGGGACCCGTGTGCCCTGGGGAATTGCCAGGGGGTCTGCAGGGGTCTGATCATTATGGACTTCATTGTGTCCCAACTCCCCAGATTCATTTGTTGAAGTCCTAACCCCTAATACTTCAGAATATGACTATTTGGAGATATAATCTAAAACTGGGGTTCCCAACTCCCGGGCTGTGGACTGGTATCGGTCCACGGCCTGTTCGGAACCGGGCTGCACAGTGGGAGGTGAGCGGCGGGCGAGTGAGCGAAGCTTCACCTGCTGCTCCCCGTTGCTCGCATTATGGCCTGAACCACCCCCCACCCACGCCTGTCTGTGGAAAAACTGTCTTCTACGAAACGGGTCCCTGGTGCCAAAAAGGTTGGGGACTGCTAGTCTAAAAAAAAATATATATATATATATATATATATATATATATATATAATATTACATTATATGTTATATATTATAATTATATATTATTATAATATAATATTATATATATTATATTATATATTATATATATATATTACTATCTACAGCCCACCCCCAGAGCTCCTGAGTCCACAGGTCTGCAGTGGGTCCCGAAATATATATTTTTTAAAACTCGCAAGATAATTTTTTTCACTTTTTGAGTTAATTTGAAACTTACAGAAAAGCTGCAAAAATAGAACAGACAGTTCCCATATACCCCTTACCCAGCACCCCTTACAGTTACCACCTTACCTATCATACAGTGATGGAACTCGAGGATTAACATGGCCACAATACCAATAGCTGAATTACAGACTCTATTTGCATCCCCCGTTTAATATTCTTTTTCTGTCCCAGGATCCTACCCAGAACACATTGCATTTCATTGTTATTTCTCTTTATTCTCTTCCTATCTGAACTCCCGAGGTGATTCTGACACAGTGATTCAGGG